TCTGGTTTTGCAAGTTGACATTTGCTCAGCTTAATCCGAAGTCCGTATTTGCGCAGGATTTGAAAGACAGTCCGAAGGTGCTGTTCGTGCTCTGCAATTGAGTTGGACATGATTAAAATATCGTCAATGTAGCAATACACAAAATCAACGCCACGAAATATGTCGTCCATAAATCGTTGGAATGTCTGCGTAGCATTCTTCAATCCGAAGGGCATATATAAAAACTCAATTAAACCAAAAGGAGTGCAAAATGCCGTTTTTGGTATATCGCATTCAGCCATTGAAATTTGATAGTAAGCTTTTACCAGATCCAAAGTTGAAAAAATCTTTTTCCCATACAGCTGCTCCGTAAAATCGTGGATATGGGCAATTGGGTACCGATCAGGTACGGTGACTGCATTGAGTTTACGGTAATTACCGCACGAACGCCAGCCACCATCCTTCTTCGTCACCATGTGCAAGGGGCTAGACCAAGGGCTCTTTGAAAGACGGCATATGCCTTCGTTGATCAAAAAGTTAATCTCGGCCTTGGCTATCGTGAGTTTTTCGCCGGCAAGGCAACGAGGTCTATCTGAGATCGGGCTGCCAGTGGTTTCTATGTAGTGGCGGACGTTATGTTGGTAGGTAGAGTTTTTTTTCCAGGAATTGTGATGTCAACGAATTCGTGTAGGAAGTCTTGAAGCTTAGATACGCCCTTTACAGTTGAAACAGACATGTTTTGTGAAATGGACAAGTAAGCAGGTGTTGCAAGACCAGTGATTGAGTCGATTAACTGCTTCTTTGGGAGATCTATGAGTAGTTGGTATTCGGAAAGCAAGTCTGCACCAATAATAGCAGTTGGAATATCTGCTACGATGAACGGCCACGTTAGACAACGGCGGAGTCGCAAGTTTAGTTGCATTACATGTGTACCATATGTATGGATAACCGTTTGGTTTGCTGCATATAACAATAAATCGTTTTGTTTTATGTTTTGTCTAACCAACGATCATGGTATGACAGATACTACTGATCCGGAGTCGATCAGAAAACGGATGTGTGATTTACGGTCGATGAAGTGCAGACGGCTTTCTTGTATGACTATAGGCTTTGGTTTTGTGTCGCTGTCAATTGTTTCACTGTCGGCCACCAGCGCGTTGGACGGCAGCTGTTCTAGTTTAAAGACTGGGTGCGAGCGCATGGTGGCTTGCATTTCTGCGCTTTGTCGCCGAATCGATGATGGTAGTAGCATAGTTTTTGCTCTCCGTTTGGCTGCTGCGATGCATCACTGGATTGACTGTGGAACCGTTGGTCGGACTGGCCTCGTGATTTGCTACGTGATCGTTCGGCTGACTGAATGCGTTTTACATCCTTTTGCAGGTTGTCAAACTTTTGGGAGAGTGAGCGTAATGAGTCTGCAATATCATGAGGAGTGGAAGAGCCTGTGGAAGCGACAGCATTAACAGTGGTTGCGGGCTGTGGAGCAGAGGCGACGGCAAACATTGACGTTGCGTTGACTGTGTCAAGCATTTTGTCAGCTATTTTGGCGAGCTTGTCTTAATCATTTTCCTCCCATACTGTCAGCAGTGGTCGGATATTTTGTGGCATCTCAGCGAGGAAAAGCGTGCGAATAATATTTTCGCTGCTTGGATCCGGAGCAAGACGGCGCATATGTGTTAATATTTCCGATGGCTCTAAACCGGACGTTTCTCCTCCTTGTAGTAAACGACGTAGTTTGGATTCTGCCGATTCTGCAAATTTTTCAAGAAGACGATTTTTTAAAGCTTGGTACCTATTTGTAATAGGAGGGCGAATCACCAGATCCTCTACGGCCAAAACCACATCTGCGCTGAGATTAACAGTTACATGATCAAACTTGTCATCGTCATCGTTGATTCCATATAGGCGAAAAGAGCGTTCAACCTGGGCAAACCACAAGTGGGGGTTGTTGCATGTGAATTTTGGTAGATGAATGGCAGCACGTTGCGTGACCGCCGGGGCGGAAGCTTGCAGTACACTAGCAGATTTACTAGCCTGCAATAATTCAATTTGCCGCTGCAGGTCTCGAATTTGCTGTAACATGTCGTTGTTTGCCATTATCATTTCTTCTTGCATGTCGTTAAAGTTCTCTCTCTCGAAGATCAGCTTCCTTGGTTTTAGAGAACGCAAATTATAGCGAGGCTGTTGCATACACTAAACGCTGTGTGTTTTTTCAAGAAATCACTTATGACGTGCACTTGTGTGCTGTGTGATTTTGGAAAGCGGTAGCATGCGTGGTAAACAAAAGAATTGCGATAGCACTGAGTGTTTCTTAACGGGGTCATCAATGTGGGAAGTTCGAATATTCCCTACTGAAAATATAATGATTTGTGGCGACAATGAACAGCGCCATCTTTTGCTAATCATACTTAACTAATTTCAACACCTAGTTCCGATATATTATGATGTACAATCGATCTCCACGAGGCAAGCTTGCTGGTACGCCGTTACAGCAAACCTTTAATAAAGTACTTATTGTTTTATGTTAAACACATCCGCATTATATATTCAGTAGGGAATATTCGAACTTCCCACAAGTCCTGTTTACTTTGGAAAGCCCCTTGTATAACATAAGTGGAGACATATGTGTGCAGTACAGAGTTAAGTCAAAATGCGCGTTGAAAATGGGAGTTATAAAAAATTGCGAATTATTCATAATTGATTAAATATCTATGGTAGTATCATGGCAAATGGTGGCAAAATGCTCATAGATTCCAGATTAACACAAATTTTTAAACGTCCTTTGTGGGTGTTTCCGTGGTTGTTTTGATGATTTAACACAGTTAGGGGATAATTGGATATTCGATTCAAATTTATCCGATCCTTATAGTATATTAACTACACCTTTGATCCCACATTTAAAATATTTCAAACTTACAGAAATATTGCGGCAAAGAGGAGATCAGTGCTTTGTCATAGCTTTGAATAGCATGGCATCTAGAAAAATTATCCGTGTTGACATTGCATTAACTTCCTCCCGGGTTGTGGATGCAGATGTACCTAATGATGTCATTCATCTTTTTAGTACCAACGCGGCCACCGATTTTTTCAACACAACCAAACTTAACTTAATTCCTACTATCCAACACATTTCCTATTCGGAAGATTTTATTAAGGCATCTCATCTTAATAGCGCAAATAGGAGTCTGATTTTAGAACATATGTGTATATATACATATGTGTAGAATAATTATAGACATTAAAACAAGAAAGGAATGCTAAAGTCGAGCGAGTTCTTAATTAAATTAAAAACAAATTATTCAGTCCATACATATAAAACTGGAGAAATGTTCTTGTACATTTTCAGCATCATACATTTACATCATAATCAGGTATGCAGCACAAAGTTGAACCAAAGCAGCAACAACAACAAGAGCTGCGGGCAGATCTTCGGCAGAGATTATGTTTATGGCTACAACTTCCTTCAGAATTGACCTATCATTATGAAATATGGACACATAATCACAAACTGATGTAAATTTGAGTTCGAAATTCCAAGAATTATGGGAGTTATGGAAAAAACACGAGTTTCGGGGGAGTGGGGGGGTGCATTGAAAAAAAAACTCAAACCCTTTTATCCTTTGAATACAGGCTATAAAAACTAGAATAGAAAAGTTATAGAAAAAAAAAAAATTTAGAAAATTAAAAAAAAATTTGGATCGATTTTACCTCTCTTGGTATTCGAACTCACGTAAAGGGTGTATAATTGCACATTTACATAGCAATTGCGTCTATGCGAGTGTATGAATGCCTATGCGCATCTATTCGTGTCTGTGTAAACATGTTAGCAGTCAACCAAAGCACCAGCATCAACAACAGCCGCGGGCAGCGCTTGAGCAGCGCTGCTGCAGCAAATATATTTATGGCTATAACTTCTTATTAAATCGGTCTATCATTGTGAAACATGAAACATATAATAACTAACGGGGGTATTTGCAAAATTTGAGTCCGAAATTCCAAGAATTACAGGAGTTACGATTTGCACGAGAGAGGGGGGAGAGAGGGAAATTCCAATATACATATTTTCTGCGTATTCACCAAAGGCATCTTGGAGAAAAATTTGGTGTTCCTAGATCTCCTGGTGTTATAGTCTCCGAGATATAGGCGATTATACGATTGGAAATCAAAAAAATTAATCCCGGTGTTCATACGGACAGACAGACAGACATAGATCGACTCGTCTTGTCATGCTTGTCAAGAATATACATATATACTTTGTGGGGTCTGTCATGCATGTTACATTTTTCAGCTCTCGCAAACCTAATATACTCTTGTACATTTCATGTACAATATAACTAATAATACCCAGCCCATAAAAAGTACCGACTGAACGCCATTCGAACGCCAGCATAATGTAACAAATCAATGGCATCGCCAACAAATGCTCTATTCGAAAAGTCTAAGTTGAGTCTCTATATGCATATGATATTTGGTTGGGATTGCTTTAATAAAACATTATTTGAGCTGTGCATTGTCAAAACTGAGGTAAAAAGAATCGTTCATGGCATTCCTCTCGTCATCTGGGCATTAATGTACGAGTATGTATATAATACAAGTAAGTACTTATAAGTGGTCTGAGATCTATTACGCCTAATTTGGACCTAATGCAACGTACTCTTTCAAAGAGTAAAGGTATATACATATGTATGAGAGAGTACTTGTATTTTAATACCTTTGGCATATTGGCCATCTTGATCAGTGTATACGATTAAAAGTTCGAAATGAGCTGTATAGTGGACACAGTCGCGTTGAGCTTCCCTCTCTTTTCGGTGGCTTTGAGCGGTATCTGTCTTGGTTCAAAACGAGTTTTGGCCACCAATGCCAAGCCAAGCGCTCGCAAAAGCACTTGCTAGCAGTCCAATTGAAAAAGCGATTAAGTGTGGTTGTGCCAACGGATTCCAAAACAAGTTTAAATACATAGTTTCCATACTTTCTCGTACTGCTTGTTATGCGGCCAGAAAAGGCAAGAAAACATACAAGACAAAAAAGCAATACACGAACTGATTTGTGTAGTTAAAGTGTATATGTATGTAGAGTGTTTATACCGATGTAATCGACAATGGCTTAACGTTATTTTTATTTCGGGTGTTTTTTTATTTTTTAATCTTCCGTTCGCATATGCATACATGTGTTTGCAAAAGGTGTAACTGCATTGAGACTTGACAAGCTTAACATTTCTGTCCTTTCTTTTAAGTCAAGCTGGTTAATGATGTCTTTTATTTAGTTCAAAGTTTATTTGAATACATACTTGTATATACATGCGTATGCTATTTGTACACATACACATATCGAGTCGAAGTTACACATACGCGTATGTATGTACATGTATGAAAGTGGTTCCTCAAAACTACTTCTTAAAAAATTGTATGTATGGTTTTATGTATTGTATATATACTCGTACATATATATATTATATATAAAGGTATGTGCTAATGAAAACAACTTTCGATTTTATAGCCATACAACCATATTATTATGTATAATATTGGACTGATATAAGGCGAAAAACTTGTTTTCTGCAGCAAATTTAACTACTTATGTATGTATGTATGTATATAAATATGTATATAAATACGTATATACATATATGTATATATATACGTATATACATAATATAAACCATTATTAATTACCATTTGAATGTATCGAAGAAGAAATTAAACAATCTGTAAAGTAGCATATGTACATGTGTATATGTGAAAAAAAAATTTCTTTTGAAATTACATACATATGTACATATGCGTATATTCATGTGTACATACTATATGTAAAATTTGTTATTTTGAGAAATCCTCTACACTTTTTGGCTTTAAGAGTAAATGCCAAATATATTTGCAAATTTAAATCCATATCTTTGTATGAGTCATTATATTCTTTTCCTATGTAATCGCATTAAGCTTTTACCATGATACAATTATAGAAGGTATGCCATTAAAGCCTGCAACTATTTTACTCATACTGCGCAGTATGAGTAAGCGCATAATAAATGAATTTTGTGCTCTCTTGTTCAAAATGGCATTCCGGGCTGTTACTAGGTCAACAACTTCCTATGGCGGATGAAACACAAATGAAATACAAATGGTACACTTAAATAGTCATAATGCAAGGAGATCACCAAATAATGGAACTATGCCTCGCCATACCTACTTGGTTCAACCATGTTTTATCACTATGAAAACCCACATACATACATACATACATACCAGTATGTACATAAATAGCACAATACATACATAAATATTTATGTATGTATGTACATGCCAACGAAAATTCCCATTATTGTTAATTCTTTGCTAACGAAAAATGTAAAATACTTTAAACGTTTCACTTGAGCAATACAAATACATAATATGCATGTGCATAGGAAATTCGTTTGTACTCATTGTAAATTTTCGAGAAAATGTTTTAAAACTGTGTATTGGAACGATTAAAGCCATTTTTTAGACTGTATTAAATGCCAATTGATATTTTGTGATATTAAACAAAAATGCCTGGCAACGCCAAGGTGCAATTGCCGCGAGCAATGTTTAAGAGTGTGCCTCGGATGCTGATGACTCCAATACTGATTTTCGCTGCCTTTTGCTGTATCAGCGCTCAAAAAGGTATGTTTTGCAAATACGAACTAATCTACCTACTCGTACATACATATGTACATATAAAACAAGTGTGTATTGGACTAAAATTTGGTGTCTAATAAAGTAAGTTTTGTTTTAAACTCGGTAAAACTTTTCCCAAAACCCAAAAATTGATTAAATAATTTGATGGTTATAACTCTTTATCCAGTGGCAGAGTCCACAAGTTAAGTACCCGATTTAAGAATGGTCATAATAATTTTAACTTATTAAAATACGTGATTACAGAAGGTGGAGTCAAAACAAGAAAGGAATGTTAAAGTCGAGGGAGCTCAACTCATAAATACCCCGTACCACCCCACAAAGAAAAAAAAACAAGTAGAGAAGCTAAAGCCGGGTATCCCGAATTTAAAATGCTCTGTACATATGTGTAGAATAATTATGCCTGTATGTGTGTGTCTGTGTATCTGTCGTGTGCCTGTGCAAAGCAGTAGCAACAACAACAGCTGCGGGCACTGCTTGGTCTTATGTACATATATGGCTATAACTTCCTGTTAAATCGGCCTATCATGATGAAACTAAGCATACAGACTCATAATCTAACTGGGCGTATTTTCCGAATTTCAATTAAAAATTCCAAAAAACACGGGAATTATGGAAAATTACTAATTGCGGTGGAGAAGGGGAACGCAGGGAAATTCGAAAAAAACATTTTCTGCGTATTCACATAAGGCATCTGGGACTAAAATCAGGTGTCCCTAGCTTTTATAGTGTCCAAGATATGGGCGATTATACAAATAGAAAATCGGGAAAAGCCCAATAGGGGGGAAGTGGGGGGAAAATCAAAAAAATAAAACAAACTTGCACAGCGTACACACATAAGGCATCTTTGTGCAAAATTTGGTGTCTCTAATTTTTATAGTCTCTGAGATCCAGGTGTTCATACGGACGGACAGGCAGACAGACGGACAGGGCTAGATCGACTCTTCTTGTCATGCTGATCAAGAATATATACAGGGTGCGCCATCTTTTATGTCGGTATGTAGATATTGAAGAACTTTGTCACCTAGGGACACCAAATTTTAGTCCAAGATACCTTATGTAAATACGCAGAGAATCGCTTATATCTCGGTGACTATAAGACCTAGGGACACCAAATTTTAGTCCAAGATACCTTATGTAAATACGCAGAAAATTTGTATTTTGGAGTTTCTATCCCTCTCCCCTCTCCTAAGCAATCATTGATCTTCCATATCCCCCGTATTTCTTGGAATTTCGAGCTCAGATAGTGATTATGTATGCGTATGCCAAGTTTAATTATGATAGACAGATTAAACAGGAAGTTATAGCCATAAATATAATTGCTGTCCAAGCGCTGCCCGCAGTTATTGTTGTAGTTGCCGCTTTGATTCAACGTTGTACTGCAAACATGTTTACACAGACACGAATAGACGCGCATAGACATACACTCACATATCCGCAATTGCTTTGTATATCTGCAATTATACACCCTTTACGTGAGTTCGAATACCGAGAGAGGTAAAATAGATCAAATTTTTTTTTAATTTTCTTAATTTTTATAATTATTCTAAACATATGTACAGAGTATTTCAAAGTCGGGACACCCGACTTTGGCCTTTTTACTTGTTTGTTTTCAATTCTGCAGTCCACGTAAAGGCATAGACACAAACCCGATACAAATTGATGCAATATGTACGTAGGTATAACATGAACATATGTATATAATTGGTTTTATTATTTAAAAAATTGTAGCATGTAGTTTTCAAAAAAATTTGGCATAAGCTTCGTTTTGTTTCTATATACATTTTTATGTTCTATCTGTTTCCTTTATTTTCAGAAACCTCCCCTTTTTTTCCATCCCAAAATCGTTTCATCCCATCGTCAGGGCAGTTTCCAAGCAACTTTGGGACGGGCACGGAAGATCGTTCAAAAGCCAGTACGATTAGATTTTCAAACACGCCAGGCTCATATCATGAGCAAATAGTTTTTAGTGAGAGCAACAACAACAATAAGGACGCAGCCCACAATACGCAGGTTGCGGTGAGTGCATCTAAATAAAACTACAAGACTCACAAAACTTCTAAACATTTTTATACTCTGTACATGAAATGTACAAGAGTATATTAGGTTTGCGCGAGCTGAAAAATGTAAGGGTACAAACATAGTAAGAGGTGAGAGGGTGAGAGGAAGCTGAAGTCGAAAAACTGTGCACAAGCAAACATATGAATTTGCTCGAAGGTGTTCATAGGTGACGCAGTCAGCTTCAAATAGTCCGGTACTGATTTTGAAGCCGAATCGCTTGCTGTTTACTCTTGTTATTGTTTTCGTTGTCATTTTTTTAATAGAGCTGGAAAAACATCTTTGTTTTTGGAGGAAGAAAATCGAGTTATCGATGCGTCGAACCTCCAACTAAGAAATTTTCAAAATGATTTTATTGATGCCTATATATGGGGCATTTCATTTTGATTTGTCATCTATATATATATAAAAGAGTTTGTCCTGACTGACTGATTGGTGATCAACGTACAGCCCAAACGGTAAAAGCTAGGAAGCTGAAATTTGGACACAAGATCCCTTTTATAGTGAAAGTGAGCACTAAGAAGGGGTTTTGGAAAAGTCAAGCTCCAAAAGGGGGAAAACGATCTCCAAAGTTTGTTTGAAAATTCTGCATTTCTGCACCGATCAACTTTAAACAGAACAGAAATTAATATTAAAAATGTAGTAATACAGTACTAATCTTAATGGGGTATTCGAGTCGCCGAAATAGGCCGCTGTACCCGATTCACAGCTAGTGATTAGTATTGCATTATTGTAAGTGTATTTAATGATGATTAGTTAAGTAAAAAAGGATGTTACTGCTTAAGTTACTAGGGGATTGTATAAAAGAAATTAAATGGTAGAGTTCATTATAATTTGAACACAGAACACGAAAAGGAGAGTAAAGGGCGAAATTTGACGTACAGCGCTGAACATGTAGAGGCCGGAAATTTCTTGAAGGTCTAGAGGGAACTACGAAGCTTATACGATGAATTAGGTTGTCTGAAGAGATTTCTCCCGCCAGTAGCTTGTACATAAAAACTACACCATGACAAGTTCTACGATCGTGCAAGGTAGGAAGATCGATCAAACGTAATCTGTCACGATAAGGTGGCAAACGTCGATTGGGATCCCATTGAATGCCTCGCAAGGCAAACAATAAAAATTGCTTTTGGGCGGACTCAATCATTTTCTGGTATTTTTGATACTGGGGTGACCATACACATGAACAATATTCTAAAATGGGACGAACGAGAGATGTATAAAGAATCTTGGTTGTGTACGGATCATCAAATTCCTTCGACCATCGTTTTATGAAACCCAGAACACCTCTAGCTTTACCAACCATATTTACAATATGGGTATTAAAATTAAGTTTGCAATCGAATGCTACACCAAGATCATAACTAGAAGTGATGCGTTCCATAGTGTAGTCATCTAGTAGATAAGAGAAAATATGAAGTTTACTTCTATAAAATGGCATAGCTTTGCATTTGCCAACATTAAGTATAACATGTTGGAAGTACACCACGACTGAAAATTATTAAGATCAGTCTGAAGTAGTTGGTGATCGCTGATATCAGATAACGTAAGGCAGAGCTTAACATCAGCCGCATACATTAGAACACGAGAATGATTTATCACTCGGGGTAGGTCATTAATGAAAAGGACAAAAAGCAGAGGGCCAAGGTGTCTTCCCTGTGGCATGCCCGAGCATACATATATAAGCTTTGAGATCGCACTATTGAAAAGAACCCTTTGAGTACGACCACTCAGATATGAAGTCAATATAGCCATGTTTGTCTGTCCGTCCGTCCGTCTGTATAAACGCAAGGATCTCAGAAACTATAAGAGCTAGAGTTACCAAGTTTTGCACAAAGATTTCTAATGTGTATGCGCTATACGAGTTTGTTGTGTGTTTTTGATTTTCTAATTAGTGATTATGTGCCCGTATGCCAAGTTTCATTATGATAGACCGATTAAACAAAAAGTAATAGCCATAAATATAATTGCTGACTAAGTGCTGCCCGCAAGTATTGTTGATGTTGGTGCTGCAAACATGCTCACACAGACACGAATAGCCACGCATAGATATGCATACACTCTCAAAGACACAATTCATATGTAAATGTACACCGTTTACGTTCGAAAACCGATAGGTAAAATCGATCCAAAAGTTTTTTTTAATACTTTTTTTTAATGTCTATAATTATTCTAAGCATACATATACAGAGTATTTCAAAGTCGTGATACCTGACTTTAGCTTGCCTACTTAAAATAATTTTTAATTAATTAAAAAAATTTTTTTTTTATTTTTATTTTTTTTTGTGGGACTGGGTACAGGGTATTTTACTGTCGGGCTTGCTCGACTGTAGCGTTCTTGCTTAGCCGCTCCGTTGCTAAGGTCTCAAAGAAGTCCGCAGTTATTGATTTTTGATGGTACAGTAGCCGACGCTCGTTGTTTCATGTATGTAGTAGTGTGTATTACTGTTTATTATCGGGACATCGCCGTACCACAGTATATTTAAGTGGCCCGCCCCGCAAAATTAGTCTTAAGCTTAAGTCTTACACACTTCCCAAACCCACTTCCTCTTCAACTTATACTCTTCCTTAGAGCCCTGCTTTCTTCGACATGACATTTCTAAAGATCATCGTCAACGCAGGGATTACTGTCTCCTAGTCCGCTTAGACTACAGTATATGAGATATATTACCCGTCGATAGGATGTTCACCATTACATCTCCAACCATTCATTGTTTCGTAAAAATGTTTTCTCAGAGTTCTTAAGAATCTAGGTCGCAAAGCCTGCAAAATGGGTAGGATTTCACTTTGCAAGAACCATGCATATCTGGTATTAGCTTTTCTGTCTGTTTTTGTCGCAAATTCAATAGATGCCAACTTACCAGCACTAGATCTTTAGTTCTCTACAACTCTCATTAAAATCATTCGCCCTTTGCAATACTTGTACATGCCACAGCTTCCTGGCGTCCTGTATACTTAAAGTCATTTTTGTACTTTGTACAAGAGTAAATTAGGTTTGCGCGAGCTGTAAAATGTAACAGGCAGAAGGAGGCGTGGCAGACTCCACAAAGTATATATATCCTTGATCAGCATAACAAGACGATACATTTGTAGTGATCATGATCACAATATTTGGTGATGATGATCAGTGATCAGTCCATTCATCAGTGACTGATCAGTGATAAGTTATCAGTTATGCCTGGTGAATGCGCCCATTGTTTTTCACTATTGTGGATTAAATTCCATAATATTGGACTCAAAATAGACCTCTCTCAGTACTATTTGCATAGTGCCATCTAAAACCTTCGGTTTCTTCCACAACAGCTGCCCAACCTCCTCAATTGGGTCAATCGTCGAAAGCTTAGCGCTTAGCGTCAGCTTAAGGCTCTGGTGCTTTCAGCTGCAGTAAACACGTTTTCAGTTTTGCAAGTTACGCTACAGTTACGCAATTTATACGCCGGAGGCTTCTCGTTATAAAAACCTTTTATAGAGATGATCGATATCTTCATAAAGATTTTTTGATGAAATTTCGCACTCAGACATGAGGGCTTATCTAATAAGGTACTACGGCTTCATCTTACAAATTCACAGAAACCTTATTGGCAGCCTGAATACTACGATGTTTCGCCACGCCCGTTTGGCGTGCCTGAGAATTATGACGCCACAAAAAATGCCCCACAACTTAACGCACTGGCAAACGTTTTCACACGCCCTAAGGCCATACGGAACGGTAGCACGAGCAACGGTATTACTCAAGCATCTCAACCGAATCGCGGCAATGTTCTGCAGCAACACACACAATTTTCGACTCATTCCACCAGTCCAACGGTTTGTATATTCCACCACTAACCAAATAACCAAATAGTATATTCGAGTATTACATACAATGTACATACAGTTGCTTTAAAACAGCTACGACAAAGTTTAAATTAATAATATCGATACTTCAATTAAATTGGGCCTAATTGGTAATGGTCACTATGTAAGTATAAAAGATTTCTATAATTGCAATTTACTTAATTTTACCTCTGACGGGTTTTCGTTCTCCATTGCTTAGACTTCTTGAACTATTATGGTTTTAAAAACGATGGTGGTCAAATAATACTTTTTACCCAGAAAAACTTTCGCAGCTGTCTTAAACGTGTGCATAGCAGAAGAAAAATAGAGAAGAAGCACTCAATGATGCAGTTTCTGGACGTAATACTGGAAACAAATATTTCGCTAATAACTTTTCTTAGAATTGACCCATTTGGATGACATTTTCTCTTTTCATTGCTTCTGCTATTCTCTCACAGGTGGAGACCCCCAAAGGATATATGTACATTCTTAATCAACATGACAATACGAGTCGATCTTACCATGTCTGCCCGACTCTCAATCCCAGAGTCCGTCCGTATGAAATCCTAGATCGAGAGACAGCAAATTTTACTCGGAAGGCCTTATATTTGTAAAAATTTTAACCCCCCTTCCCACGCTATAAGTGATTTTCCATAGCTTTTTTGCATATATGCACACATAGACATAATTTCGATAAAAATATTCGATGTTTTACTATTTTATTTCTTTTTTGTGTTTTTGTTTAATTTTTATAATTTATTAAATTATTCTACACATAGGTACAGAGTACATACTTATTTCAAAACCGGGGCACTCGACGATAGCTTTCCTAAGTGCTTTTTGATGATTTTATTAAAATTTGGCTTAAGGTTTTTTATTTATGTTTCGTTTATTTCGTAATATATATGAAACAATTCTACACAAATCAGGGCTTAGCTTATCCATTTGTTTTTCTAAAATCAGTTGCTAAAGTATTATGGACGGTAAATATAATATAATAATTGTAACCGAATTCATTTAAGTATTAATAAATTAAATGTGTTTACAATAACTAAGAGTTGAAGCTATCGCAATTTAAAAAGTTATTAAAGGGTGGTGGGTATTTGGCATTTGTTTGCTTGCTTACTTAATACATACTTAATTTAGATGAAATTTTTGGGTCTAAAAATTGGTTCATTGAAGTCATTTGCTTAATCAATTTTCCTTTACTTCCAGAACGTGAAACAGCTGGAAAGCAACATTTTTGACAATAATGCTCCTCCATTACCTTCCCACATTATTCCTCATCGCTACCAGAGAAATTATCAGGCGACCGCAAAGGCTACAAGATCATCGGTAACTGCAGAAAGTTCTGAGATCAACCGCAACAACCGCTTTGGTATAAGTCGCACCAAGCACACAACAACAACATCTACATCACTCCCAATTAAGCATAACACTTCTTTTTTAAATCGAAATATCAGCAGTTCGCGTCGGCTCGTTTTTAACAGCAGTATACAGAGCGAACACTCCCCTAAGCAACGACATTTCGGCCTTAATAATGTACGTTTAAGACCTTTGCGCCCCTCTAGCAGTATAGAGAGCATAGATGACACTAAGGAACATAAATTGGGTTCGCAGGAACAGCAAAAAGGGCATTTATTGGAGTCGGAACCGGCCGCTTTTGAGGAAAAATTAATACCTTCAAAAAAGGCCGAAGTAACAAAGACTCGGGGTCATGACTCAAATGAGGAACCCGTCATATTAACATCCAACTTTTATTTGTCTGATGGCACGCGCATGGATGGAGCCTCTGGTAGTATAGGTGTTTTAAGTGATTTCAGCACAGACGGAAATGAAGATCTCCCTACAGATTCTTCTGAGATTAAGGATTCTACGGAAATTGTAACGGATATCAAGAATGATGAAAATATATCCTCAACGGAAGAAAGCGATCCCGAAACCACAGAGGATCTGATGAACACATTAACTACAGATCAGCCGGGCGACCACAGATTAGTAGAGGCAACTAGTTTAGCACCAAGTAAAAACAACACGATGGAATATTCCATTGAAAAAGAAGACCAAGATGAATCGGAATACGGAAGCGGGGATGAAGAAGATTTTGACGAATATGAATACGACGAAGAAGACGGATCGGGGGAATATAACATTGGTAAAGAGACTACAGAAGATGGGACCATCAAAGAGAAAACTGAACGCGAAATCATTTCTGTCGTAACCACTAAAAGCATTGTAAATGGATCTACGGCCTTCCCAGCGTCTGTTACACCTGGCACCTGGATTGAGGATATCGACTCTTCGGCAATGTCTGAAAAGGTAAACTGTTATATGCATATTGAAACTGAATTGAAATCAAAAATTGAATTAATTAATACCGTTAAACGAAATGCTAGAGTCATTTGGGCTATAACTTCCTTTACATTTGAACTATCGTGATGAAAATTAACACTAATGAGATGTAATTGCCAAATTTTAGTAAACAATTCCAAGAATTACGGGAGTTATGGAAAATTTACCAATAGAAGGGAAGTGGCGGGGGAAAAGGAAAAATCTCAAATACTCGAAGACAAAAATCTCAAGTACTCGTAGATTCTGGATAAGATGTTTGGTTATTTTAGCTTTTATACCATCTGAGATCATTGCGTCCATATAGACAGATAGACGGACAGGCGGACTTTTCTGTATCGACTTGTCTTGTCATGCTGATTAGGAATTTACTTGTATATATATACTAGCAGACCCAGCAGACGTTGTCCTGAATTATATTTCAGGCGCTGGTTTCTCAAACTTTCATTGCCCGTCAATTTAATCCGAGTCCGTTGACCAATATTACCTACTCGTGCACAAAGACATGGCATTGTTTTATGTACGAACCTTATATTTGAATATACTTGTAATACAATTAATATTCACTGAAATGCGACACTTGAAATATTAAGACTACATACAAAAAAATTAAAATGTTGACGCACACTGTCTGCAGAAACATATTAGTTTTTTCAGATGTAAGACGTTGAATTTAATATTTAAAATGTAACCTCAAGCCTGTCGGGCAGTTTTGTGAATCCTATAATTGTAAGCACAAATACTGATCCAGCAAAGACGGACAAGACCTGCTAGTATATATATAAATATATATATATAGTATATCCCCCATCCGTTTGCCAAGTTTCAAAACAGGAAGTTATAGCCATATATGTTGTTGCTGCTTTGCACAGGCACACGAGACGTACACAGACACACACAAACACATACAAACACGCATAGACACGCATATTTATTCAACACATACGTATATAGTTTCAAAGTCGGGACACTCGACTTTAGCTTTTCCACTTGTTTAGTTTGGATTTTAGTTCATTTACAATTGAGACTCCAGAGATCAAGGTGTCATATAATCGAACTGGATAGGTGGCGGATGCTGTAATCTTTGCCAGGGAACAGTCGGTATCAGTGCTTAAATCACATGATCTTTAAGCTCCTTGTACACCCTTTTATTTCATTTTGACTAATGAACCTCCTTTTGCCCATTACAATCATCATGCTGGTCATATAAACAAAAGAATCTCTGAAATGTAGTCTACAATTCTTCCTTTTAACCAAGAAACACCGTTTCAACTTATGCACAAACAAATACAATAAAAAAAAACTGAGACTTGAGATGTGTCCCAGTATATTTTACTTGAGCTACTCATTTTCGACTAGATGTAATGACCTATACACAAAAGTGTGAAGCTTTGCTGTGAGGATGTCTGAAAAGATAGAAATGTGAACAAACCAATTATTTATATTGGAGGTGGTGGATAGGCTCTGCCACAGTATTTTTTTAAAGCTCTCACTAAAGCTGTATTTGTCGTCCTCCTTATTTCAACGCGAACATAAAGTTTACCTACTTTAACGTATTAAAAATTTATACGATCTTAATTTTGTGTTAATATTTATTACCTTTGGATTGAATTGACTGATTGTTTTTGTATTTTTTTATGACAGGAATATATGAAGACCAGTGGGGCTGATATTACTATGCCAGCACCACAAGACGATGGACAAATCGATCACAGTGCGACATCTGTAACACAATTATTAGTCCCTTCCACACCGGATGTAACCGAAAACTATGTAGTGGTAGCCTCCGTTCAAACTAGTCGAAGCATCAATGGGGCACGATTCTTGCCCTTCCCGTCTATTGAACAGGAGGAAACAAAGAAAACATTATCGGAACTAGAACGGAAAGTGCACTTAAAGCAACAACACACACAGTTCGACACAAGTCGAGAAGAAACAAGGGAGAACACAGAATTTTCTACCAACACTTCTCCGACGGAAACATTGCCCACATTGGAAAACGAAACATCCACCTCACAGCTTGCGATCACAGATTTATATTCCACAGAGGAAAGCATAATTGATAAACTTGATCGCGTGCAGTCGGAGCTATCCAGCGGACTACTCTCCGGCAAATATCCCGTCATCAATGAAATGGATGCGTCTGCTACAGTTGCGCCCGTGACGCCAAGAGCGGAATATGTATTGCCACACATACGCAAGTTCGTCCCAAAAACTACAACCATGATGCCGCATACCACGACTAGTGGCAATAAATTAAGGGTACCACACATTAAAGAAGTAGCAGTAGATGATTTGTCGTCCCTTTTGCCAATGGGCTTTAAGCCGAAAACAAGCTATAAAAATTGGAAAATCACAACTTCTACCTCCACAACAACAAAAATGCCAACCACTGTTAACCATCCAAGCAAACCATCACGAAACTCAAGCATTAGTCGCTCTTTTAGAAACGGTGGCGTTGTCCTGCAGGATATTGAGCTAATTGGTCTATTACCAAAGGGCTATAAGTTGCCGAAGATAATGACAACGCCGACCCCCACATCGACCATAATCATATCAAAAGAAACAGATTTTGAAAGTATATTCAGAAAAACAAAATTTGATGATAGCCTGGCGGCACTACTGCCCAAGGACTATAATATAAAAATCACCCAAATGCCAAAAGTCGAGAATCTCCCAAAACATGGCGACATTAGTAAAGGTCTGCCTCCGGACGATAATCATTCCAAGGAGGAAGAGCCAAAAGCTGAACTGTCTAGTAGTGTGCTGCTTACAAAAATAAAAGACATACAGAAGTTTCTACCACCTGGTTACGAACTCAATAAAACGGATGATAACTTATCTGTGCAGCCCAAACAGAAAGTTTACTCTTCTTCACTCAGGCCACCACTGACAGTAGTAACTACTCCACAGACCAATGAAGCACCTGTCAAAGAGTTAAGCAACACTAGCGGTAGTCTTAAGGTAGTTTTTCCCAAGGGCTTCCATAAGCGGATCGGTTCCCATAGACTCACCACACCCCACACACTGCATGACTTGAACGAAGAGCGCTCATCACCACCCGTAGTCATAAAAAAGGGACCTCCTACTCGTGCTTCTACAGAATTTACCGGATGGCCCACGTCACCTACGACGCCGCTTTCTATTGAAAAAATGTCCGTACAGGTTATAAGTTTTGAGGATCTGCTGGCAAAAAGCACTACTACCAGTATTCCTATAGAAACATCAACAGATACAACAACGACCACTACAACGCAACGACCGACAAAGCCAGGACACTGCAAGGCAAACTGCGATCTAGCAGGTACAATCAAAATAATTGGAGGTGTAACTTGGAAGCCAGAGCTCCTCGATCACAACACCCAGGAATGGAAAAACCTAGCGCATGAGCTGGAAACCCAAGTAAGTTTAATATCTCACAATTATTATAATTAATGGACGGCTGTAATTTGTATATCCTGTACCCAAAGGGTAAAAGAGTATACTACTTTAATGCAAATGTATTTAACACAAAGAATGGGGCCAAAAAATATATATATTATTAATCAGTATAAGAAGGCGAGTCGATATAGCTATGTCCGTCCGTCCAGCCGCCGTCTGTCACCCAGTACAAGTACAAGAGCTACGCAGATCGAGCTTTTTTCAGATAAACAATTGGAAAATCACTTCTACCTCCACAACAACAAAAATGCCCACCACTGTTAACCATCCAAGCAAACCATCACGAAACTCAAGCATTAGTCGCTCTTTTAGAAACGGTGGCGTTGTCCTGCAGGATATTGAGCTAATTGGTCTATTACCAAAGGGCTATACGTTGCCGAAGATAATGACAACGCCGACCCCCACATCGACCATAATCATATCAAAAGAAACAGATTTTGAAAGTATATTCAGAAAAACAAAATTTGATGATAGCCTGGTGACACTACTGCCCAAGGACTATAATATAACAAGATAGAACGCTACAGTCGAGCAAGCCCGACAGTAAAATAGCCTGTACTCTCCACAAAAAGGGAAAATTAGAAAAAAAATTGCTTTTTTAAATTAAATTATTAAAAAAAATGAATGAATGAATTAATTAAAATTAATTAATTAAATTAAATTAGAATACATGTTTATGTTCAGTTTTAACAGCATACATTTACATCACGTACCTATGCGTGTATGTATGCAGCACAAAGTTGAACCAAAGCAGCAACAACAACAACAGCTGCGGCAGCGCATGAGCAGCGATTTTACTTATGGCTATAACTTTCTTCAGAATTGACCTATCATGATGAAATTTGGCACAGGGACACATTAGTACCAACTGGATGTACCTACCAAAATTGATTTCAAAATTCCGAGAATTACGGAAGTTATAAGAAAAAACACGAATTGCGAGGGAGTGGGGGGGTGTATCAGAAAAAATAAACAAACTCGATCTGCCTAGGGCTTATAGGAACCTTGATACCAATTTTGGTTATCCTAGCCTTGTACTTACTGAGATCCTTGCGCTCATACAGACAGACGGACAGACAGACAGACGGACATGGCTATATCGACTCGTCTTCTCATCCTGATCAAGAATATATATACTTTGTGGGGTCTGTCACGCCTCCTTCTGTGTGTTACATACATGCGCACAAAACTAGTATAGCCTTTCACCCTTTGGGTACAGGCTATAAAAATCACCCAAATGCCAAAAGTCGAGAATCTCCCAAAACATGGCGACATTAGTAAAGGTCTGCCACCGGACGATAATCATTCCAAGGAGGAAGAGACAAAAGCTGAACTGTCTAGTAGTGTGCTGCTTACAAAAATAAAAGACATACATAAGTTTCTACCACCTGGTTACGAACTCAATAAAACGGATGATAACTTATCTGTGCAGCCCAAACAGAAAGTTTACTCTTCTTCACTCAGGCCACCACTGACAGTAGTAACTACTCCACAGACCAATGAAGTACCTGTCAAAGAGTTAAGCAACACTAGCGGTAGTCTTAAGGTAGTTTTTCCCAAGGGCTTCCATAAGCGGATCGGTTCCCATAGACTCACCAAACCCCACACACTGCATGACTTGAACTAAGAGCGCTCATCACCACCCGTAGTCATAAAAAAGGGACCTCCTACTCGTGCTTCTACAGAATTTACCGGATGGCCCACGTCATCTACGACGCCGCTTTCTATTGAAAACATGTCCGTACAGGTTATAAGTTTTGAGGATCTGCTGGCCATTCCACCACTTTTAATGAATTTCCATAACTCCCGTATTTTTAAGAATTTTTCATTGAAATTCGGAAAATACCTCCTGTTACCTGTTACCTCCTCCGCCGCTGTTATTGTTGTTACTGCTTTGCACAGGCACACGAGACATACACAGACACAAATAAACACACATATACACGCATAATTATTCAACACATACATATGTACAGAGTAATTAAAAGTCGGGACATCCGACTTTAGATTCTCTACTTGTTTTTATATAAATTAAGTAGCAGGTCTTGCCCATCTTTGCTGGGCTAAGTAAAATGTGCTTATAATTATAAGTTTATTTACTATATGATATTCTTCTTTCGACGCTCTCTAAAGATTTTTAAAGAGTTCATTTTCCAAATAGCAAATATAGTACAATAAGTACTATGTATGGTTATACGTACATACATACATATGTACATATCTTCGTTAGGCACCGGACGGACTGCCAGTCCTGACTAAACTGTGTGCTTCCTCAGCACGTTGTACACACGGTCGAGTTATCCCCGAAAAGTCCGACGCGGGACATTTAATTTTGATTTATAAATCGGGACGTTCCGCAAAAATTGGAACGTTCGGCAACGCTGATATGTACATACATTTAAATTTTTCATGTAGGCGTTACCCGCCTATATACATACATACATACATACATATATAAGTATGTATTAAATTTTTTAATTCAACACTAATTTGTGTCTTCAATTCCAAATATGATTGTTGTGAATGTAAAAGGTGTGTTTCTGCTTTTGTAAATCGCATGAATACACTAACAAAATAGGCTTAACAGTAAATGACTCTTAGATTTGTTCAGAATACATTTGTAGCGTTGTTAGCTAACAAACACTAAAACGGTAAGACGCTGTAAATATGCGATCAGCTGAGATGCTAGAGATGTATAGTTGAATCCGCAATTAACAGAAAATTTAAATAATAACATCTTATAATTTATTGAGATCAATTAGAACATATCATATATAAACATACATAAGTACATATGTTCACCTGCCCGCAACGCGAAGCAGAATATGTGTAGGTCCGCTTTCGGTTTCTGCTTTACTATCGCTTACGCAGTCGTTGCCTAGCGACGGTAACTGTAAACTTTTGGCATTTTGAAATTAACAGGCGTAAATGATCAAAACGAAAGAAGAAGCGCGAGCCAATGACTTGCAGTTGTTGTTGTTTTGCGTTAAAAATTTGAATTAAGACCATAGAACATTATATATTACAATCAAACAACAGTGATCGATTGTCCAATGTATACATACATACATACGAATGTACATACATGCTATATATGTACGTACACAGGCATACATACATACATATGTATGTAGATATGCATGCATGTTTCTCTTTACTTTTTCAACCGTACGTAGAGAACCGCACTCATAGACACGAACTGTTGCTTGTTCTGTGTGTGAGTGTGTGTATATGATGTCCCCAACTATTTGATATTTGCGTTCTTTGTAATTTGCTGTTGCTGCATAAAGTTACTTATGAAAACCGTAATGCCAAATGCACTAAACAAAGAAAAAATTACTTTTAAAAATGTTAAATAATTTTTAATTAATTAACATTTCTTGCTCTGTCAGTGCAAGACGAATGAACATACATACATAGATGTGTACATATGTATGTGTATGCATTCACACATTAGTGTCTCACATTTTGCTTTGGCTTTTTTAATCGTTTGCACGCAAGTACACGAACAGCTGCTTGTATACTTAGTTGTCCCCAACTTTTTGTTATTTTGTATTGTTTGTTCTGCCTGCATTTGTAAAATGCATATTTTGAAAATCCTTGAACGCAAAGTTGTAGATTGAGTTACGTAGATTACATTACCCGAATTTGAAATCGATCGGACAAAATTTATAACACAAACATTTCATTTGAAAAGGTGAATAAATATTAAAAACCCAATAATTTAAGCTCCACCACAAATTTCGAAAATCCGAGTATGCAGTTTTGTTTGTATTCTTTTATAGATTATAAAAATCAAATTGAAAGTTGATCGGTGCAGAAATGCAGAATTTTCAAACAAACTTTGGAGATCGTTTTCCCCCCTTTGGAGCTTTACTTTTCCAAAATCCCTTCTTAGTGGGCACCTTCACTATGATAGGATCCTTGAGTCCAAATTTCAGCTACCTAGCTTTTACCATTTGGGCTGTACGTTGATCACCAATCAGTCAGTCAGGACTAACTGTTTTATATATATAGAGATTAATGAATATAATTTTTTAAAATTAATTTTTAAAATATTAAAAAACAAGTAAAAAAGCGAAAGTCGGGTGTCCCGATTTTTAGATACTCTATATGTTTAGAATAATTATAGATAATTGGGGGCATTTGAGTTCGAAATCCCAAGAATTACGGGAGTTACGATTTGCGGTGGAGAGGGGGGAGGGAGGGAAATTCCAAAATACACATTTTCTGCGTGTTCACACAAGGCATCTTGGACTAAAATTTGGTGTTCCTAGGACTGGAAAATCGGGAAAAAAAAATCAAAAAAATAAAACAAACTTGCATCTTTGTGCAAAATTTGGTGTCTCTAGCTCTTAAAGTCTCTGAGATCCAGGTGTTCATACGGACAGACAGACGAACAGACAGACATAGATCGACTCGTGTTGCCATGCTGATCAAGAATATATATACTTTGTGGGGTCTTCCACGCCTTCTTCTGCCTGTTACACTTTTCAGCTCGCGCAAACCTAATATACTCTTGTACATTTCATGTACAGATTATAAAAAATTTTTTTTTTGTGGGACTGGGTGGGCTTATAACATTCTCAACAATTATGATAGACTACATGTTAAAAGTAGGTACATGATTAACATTACAAGACGCAAAATTCCGTCTGTCCGCCGGTGTGCCTTTCTCAAGTACTAACCATCCCACAAGCTTCTTTCCGATGGATACGTATATTTGGGGACCGAGTGGTGATTATATTCTAAATAAATAGAACAAATATATGCTTTCAAATGAAATATTACATTTAAACATTTATACTTTTTCACAGTAATTCACAGTAAATTGTATATATTGTATATTGTTTTAATATTAAGTAAATAGTTAGTGTTCGTTGAAAATAATGTGGTTTAAACATTTTCTTTAAGTGTTATAGTGACATACTTGTATAAAACCCACCTTACACTTTTTTTAAAGTCCTTTATAATTCATATCTCCAACAGCTTAATGAGATTTTCTCTACTGGCGCACAGCTTCGCCAATGGTACAACAAAGTTCGGATTGACAGCTTTAGTAAGGGCAGCGTACTTGTCGATTATTATGTCGAATTTTCTAACATTACACAGGATGTTGACACCTTGGAAATCAAGCAACTGTTTCACGATGCACTCAAGCAGCCCTCCATGCATAGCCCGCCTATAATTTCGGAGTTGGAGGACGAAACGAATATTGCCTTCGAGACCTTGAAACAGAACCAATCGTTAAACTATAGCTATCAAATGGGAAAGTATTTGATCGACCCCGTAGCTACCGAGTTCAGTGGTGCGTATACGTGTAATACTACATATTTTGTTAACAAATTGTACTCAACTTGACTACTTCTTACAGTAATTGCTAAAAATGTACAGACAAATGTGGAGTACGCCGAAGAGGATCTTTTTATACCACAATGGGCTATTGTGGTTATTGTAATTGGCATTGGCTCATTGGTATTTGTAGTCATATTCGGCGTGACAGTGGTATGTTAGTTTATAATAACATACAATAATACCCAAGGACCATCTAGAATACATTGATTTGATTTTAGCTTCTTAACCGTCAGAAGCGAGCAAAAAAGGTACCGATACCCCTAACAAATGATATGCTAAATGAACTAAAAGTCAATCACATGAGTGGCGCTGACAACTATGGAATTGATGATTTTTACAACATTGACGATCCTTGGAAAGACACAAAATCCAAGGTAAAAAAGTATTAATAAAGTGTTTGCCTATTACAAAAATTCTGCTTTCATATTGCAGCGCTTCGATAACTCTGTGAATGGAGGCAACAATTTTAATATATACGACAGTTGGCGTTCCAATCGTAGCCCGCTCAATGGCACCGACTACTTATACGATCAGCAGCTGAATCTTTCACAAAAAGTAGACTCCCTTAAGCGCCAAAACCTTAACCAGCACTCTCAGTACATTGGTCATCAGTATCCAGATGCATTTGCCAATGCCCAACAGATGTACAACTACAATCATAATACGAGTCGAGCACGATACCCTCGCGATTACGACCCAGACTTCTAAAGGTCCCAGGCACAGCCCGTGTTATAGCTTTATGCTTCGTCTACTCATTTGGACGTTGTTCTCGTGTAAACTTTATAGTTAAAGTTTATATATTTTATATACATACGTACATAAATAATTAGTTATTATGTTATCAATTTATACTTGTATATGCATAGATTTCAAAAGATACATATTCGTAAACAGTTAACATAAAACTATAAAAAAAAAAACAATTAAGATGAGCAATGATTTAAATTGTTATCTACATTTAAAATATTGTCGTTGATTTTGACTTGCTCGTCATTGTTGTTGAAATATAACAACAGTTAAAAGCTGATCAGCGATCAGAACACAATTCGTACAAAAACAAGAGAGAACGCTACAGTCGAGCAAGTCTGACAGAGAAATACCCTATACCCAGGTAAACTTCCGACACTGAGGTATATGCGCCTTTAGCAGAAGCAAAAGGAAGAAGAAGAGCGAAATTGATGATGCAGCTTGCGGGCGTAGTACCGGAGAGTTTCGCTAATAACTTTTCTTAGAGTTAAGCAATTTAGATGTAATTTGAAACAAAAGTATATTATTATAGCCTGTACCCAAAAGGTAAAGGGCTAACTAGTTTTGTGCGAATGTATGTAACAGGCAGAAGGAGGCGTGACAGTCCCCACAAAGTATATACATATATTCTTGATCAGGATGACAAGGCGAGTCGATATAGCCATGTCCGTCTGAATGAACGCAAGGTTCTCCGAAAGTATAAGAGCTAGAATAACCAAACTTGGTATCCAGATTTTCCGTGATAGGACGAGTTTGTGTTTTTTTCTTTTCTGATGCATCCCCCCACTCCCCCGCAATTCGCAAAACTCCCGTAATTTTTGGAATTTTGTACTCAGATTTGGCATGACTAGTAATGATTATGAATCCGCATGCCAAGTTTCATTCATAGTGGCATTCATTCAAAGTTGCGTGTTTTACTTTAAAATAATTTCGAAATGTCTGATTTTGTAATAAGAAATTTTAATGGATCTGATGATACAGATTTGTTGACTTCATATATAATTTTTAAATTCATTGCTTTATTAAAACAACAGACAAATAAATGAAAAAGTACAAAATTAAGTATCGATGCGCTCGGTTTAATTCAATTCAATGCAGTACCTTTTGATATACAACATTTTTTGTTTTTTTATAAAGCGCAAAAACAAATAAAGTGAAGGCCAGGCGAATCGGGAACTGAATTCTTTTAAATTTAAAAGGCATATCCGTTGAGATCTTCGGAACGAGAACTAACTCATCTTTAAATTTTCCATTGAGTATCGTCGCGTGAATCACATTATTCATCAGTCTTCTTATCACCAAGCACGTTCCACTACGTAGATTTGGTTGATTAAGATTTCGAAGCATGATTGTAAATTGTGTGGTGGTAAACCAGGCACATCCAAGGAGCTTAAAAATTCATCTCCGTCTGTTACACTATCAATAGATTTGAATTAAATCTTCAGCAGATGATTCCTTCAACAATGCAACTCTCATATTTGCTGTCAGTTAAAGTTCCTCCATATAGCACCACAGATTTGATGATTTGAGGCAAGCATTTATTCCATCAGCAGCAGTCGATCTTGGAATGACTGGCAAGGTTTGGCGGAAATCGCCAGATAGTAAAATCATTGCGCCTCCAAAAATTCTCGAGTCATAGCGCAGATCTTTTAATGTTCGATTAAGAGCTTCCAATGAGCATTTGTGTGCCATTCTGCATTCGTCCCAGATGATGATTTTTGAGGCTAGCACGAATAATCGCAAAATCAATAACATGAGGAATGTGTTTCCTGTTCCACCAGGGACATCCAGGAAAAACAGGCCGCCATTTCCATCATCAATGGCATCAATTAATGTATCATAGATTGCCTTCTGTTTTGGGCTCAACAGCGGTACATTTTTTTGAATTGATTGGTCTAATTCATATCGACCATATTCACGTTCCAATTCTCTATTAAATGCGTCATAATGAGCTTACACATATCTTCGATCAAGAGCCAAGCCTGCATCTCCTCATTCGCCTCAAGATCAGGATTTCTTGAATTGACAAATGTCTTCTGACATGTAATCTTTGTATTTGTTCCACAGGTCGCGTGGATTAGATGGGAAACATATAGATATGATGATAGCAAATAATGTGCGTATCTGACTTGGAGATGCAAAAATAATTGCTTTAGTCATTGCCGTGTCCCAATGAGTATCGTTTTCAAGCAAATTCAGCTCTTGACATGATGCACAAAATGTTGGTCACACTATACCATTACCAAAACATTTACCCCATTTCCTCGTTGCTTCTCTTACACACACTAACTCTCAGAGCAACACACACAGAACCACACTCTATACAGTTCCCATGAACTGGATCTCGCTCACACAGGGTTGATACCACGATCACACCCACACTGGTCACAGTCACTAACCATACAACATATAGATGCGTCATTTCATACAACGAAAACGTCCCATCAAAATTGTTAGCGACAGCTCCCATAGCTGTTCGGGTATTTGCCGAATGGGAGCTGTCGCTCTTCGGCTATGAGCCGACTGGGAGCTGTCGCATTCGTGCTCTCTGTGAGCGAATTTTATTTCATTCGCAGAGAGGCAGTCAACAGAGACGGTCGGTTCACGCCGCTTGTGCTCTTTGTATGTGTGCGTGCACATATATAAATGTATATGTTTATATGTATTTGTGCATTTGGTCTTTTGCTGTTTGCGAGCAGCAGCTTCAATTTCGTTTTCAGATTTTACCTGCTACATGGGCATGAGAATTTCATACACTGCTGCCATATTTCTGTCGCATTGTATTTTGGGATGCGTATGCAAGTGAAGTTTGTCAATAGTGTATGGGTTTCTCATAATGCCTATAAAAGCACACATACATACATACATATGTATGTGTGCAAATGTTGTGTTCATATGCAGACACTTCATATATGAACGCGTGGCAGTAGCCTTGACATTGTCATGACCTGCCTCAACTTATACTTATGCACAAGCAATTTTGTTGATAGACTATTTCTTATTTTTGTTTGACTTGCATCTTAATTACAAAATATTTGGTAAAAATGTCAGTTGGCATTTAATCAAATTAATTCAAAAATATTAGTTTAAAAATATTTTATTTTATTTACATATGTTCTTGGTAAAAATGTCGGTTGGCAAATTAGCCGATATTTAATATGAAAATAAGTACATTTAAGGGTCGCGAAATGTGGTAAAATTAAATTCGCTCACAGAGAGCACGAATGCGACAGCTCCTAGTCGGCTCATAGCCGAAGTGCGACAGCTCCCATTCGGCAAATACCCGAACAGCTATGGGAGCTGTCGCTAACAATTTTGATGGGATGTTTTCGTTGTATGAAATGACGCATCTATATGTTGTATGGTTAGTGTCACAGTATTCTCGCGCCATTCGAATGGGTGCGCAATTCAAAGACATTTACTTACATACTTAATTATTCTCCAACACGGCCATTCTGACACTTACACGTCCTCGTGTACTGAGAAAACAATATACAGCATTGTCGGAATAAATTTAACCAAATTTATTAACAAAAAATTCAGTCCGTTTCTTAATCAATAAACAGTTACAGTTTCCTTCTTTTTAAAGTACAACTCTTTCTTTTCCATATTTCCTCATCTCATAAACTTTAATTCAATCCAATCCTACACAATCCTTCCCTTAGTTTACATTTCAAATTAATTGTTCTCCTTTCGTCATACTTTTAATTAGTATGTATATTAATCAACTCTTTCATAATTTTCTACATTCAATTTTAACTGCTTACATATTCTCACTAGCAGGTCTTGCCCTTCTTTGCTGACTCAGTATTTGTGCTTACAATTATACGTTTATTTACTACTTATATGATACTTATTTCTCTACCAACACTCTAAAGTTTCTAAAGAGTTCATTTCCCAAATAGCAAATTACTTTGGAACGATTCGAGAGCTAGGACAAAAAGTACAATAAATACTATGCATGGTTATATGTGCATACATACATATATACAAACAAGTGTATATTTATGTATGTATGTATGTATGTATGTATGTATGTATGTATATAGTATGATAGGGATGAATCAAGGCAAGTAATTTCTAGAATTAAAAGCTATACAATTTGGCAAAGTTATTTGGTCAACTTATGCAACTGCACAACATTAAAACAAGATAGAACGCTACAGTCGAGCAAGCCCGACAGTAAAATAGCCTGTACTCTCCACAAAAATGAAAAAATTAAACAAACAAAAAAATTTAAAGAAAAAATTAAATTATTAAAAAAAATGAATGAATGAATTAATTAAAATAATTAATTTAATTAAATTAGAATACATGTTTATGTTCAGTTAAAACAGCATACATTTACATCACGTACCTATGCGTGTTTATATGCGTGTATGTATGCAGCACAAAGTTGAACAAAAGCAGCAACAACAACAACAGCTGCGGGCAGCGCTGCCGACAGAGCTGAAGGCAGCGCATGAGCAGCGATTTTACTTATGGCTATAACTTTCTTCAGAATTGAATTTGGCACACGGACACATTAGTACGAACTGGATGTACCTACCAAAATTGATTTCAAAATTCCGAGAATTACGGAAGTTATAAGAAAAAACACGAATTGCGGGGGAGTGGGGGGGTGCATCGAAAAAAAACTCAAACTCGTACTTTCTCGGTTTTAGGAGAATATGGAAACCAAGTTTGGTTATTCTAGCTCTTATACTTTTTGAGATCCTTGCGTTCATACGGACAGACGGACAGACAGACGGACGGACGGACAAGGCTATATCCACTCGTCTTCTCATCCTGATCAAGAATATATATACTTTGTGGGGTCTGCCACGCCTCCTTCTGTGTGTTACATACATGCGCACAAAACTAGTATAGCCTTTCACCCTTTGGGTACAGGCTATAATGACCATACACACATACATATACATACAAGTATATATATTTATATATGTACATATATACAAGTATATCATAATTATTTTTTCTACTCTTTAATGAAAAGTTATAAAAATACAACGCAGTTTATTCTGTATTCTTTCTCATAGTAAATAAATAAACCAAGTTTACAGTTAATCGGATTTCTAA